ACAAAGCTGTGCAGCAAAGCTGGCTGAGAATTCAGCAACTACTTGCAGACAATGGTCAAATGCTGATGTTGGTACTCAGTTGGGAAACTGCCCGTGCCAGATGAGAAAGAGGCCAGCTTCATCTCTTTTCCTCTTTCCCTTTCCCTAGTTCTGCAGTAAAGAGGTTCCAGCCTTGATGTGTGTGTGGTAAGCTAAGTGGGAGCATCTGCTCTCCTTTATAACACCCCCCTTTCCCTGAGGTACAAGAGTATCTTCTGACTTGTGATCACCTTCAAATGACTACAAGGTCAGTCTTGATAATTGACTAAACAAAATGTCTTCATCATTTACCCCAAAGCTTTGAGAGTAGTGGTGTCAGTAGGGGGGTGCTGGGGGTGTGACCCACACTGGGTGACACTCCAGAAGAGGGGTGACAGCCGGTTGGCCTCCTCGATGCACTTCTTTGCCACGGCCTCATTCTCTTCACGAGGAGAACGGCACTAGGGCAAGGAGGAGGGCTGAACTTGCCCCCCTGCACCTCATTGGCACCCCTGGCAGCCCCATCACCCCCAGGTGATACCAGGGGCAGGGATGCCATTGCTTGAGAGGAGGGAGTTTCATTAAACTAGATGCCACCAACATCCTGCTCCCAACCCAGCCAATTGCCCCTCTGAAAGAAATAAGATACAGACCAAGGGCCCCAAACCTAGCAAATGCACATGGGAGTCCTGATTATTGCACATTCAACTAAAAGAGTCCTAGATATTTGAAGATGATTTGACGTATTATTGTCCTCAGAAATCTTTAGCGTCTTGGCTATGGTACAGTACTGGATGTAGCATATGAGACTTTAAACTGAAGCTTTTTGCACTATTTATCAATTCCCTTGGCCTTCAGTGAATATAAATCTGACACTAAAGTTTTGTTCAGAGTGTATATAGGACAGAAGATATATCAAAAACAAAACTGAAGAAACATAATTGAAATGAACCCTGCAAAGGCAATGGTGGAGAACCTTTGTTTTACAGGCCACAAAGGCATTTATTTATTTATTTAAAAGCTTTATATGCTATATTTTATGGCAGCAGTGTGGGATTTTCCACCATTACAACTTGCAGCTTTTAACATACAGTTTTCTTCAGGATCACTCAAGGGAAAGAAAGAGTTAAATCTGCCTCCCTGCCAGATGCACCTTCCACACCATTATCACACATACATAGTTTAGCCTCCTCTATTTGCACCTAAAACATTTTGTGCATAGCAAATTCAAAGATTCATTGTATGTCACAATTATTTATTTATTTATTTATTTATTTTGAAGTATTTATAACCTGCTCTTCAGCCACAAAGGCTCCCAGAGCAGCTTACAAATGGTTAATTAGACAGTTCCCTGCCCTCAGGTTTACAATCTAAAAAGACATGACCCAAAAGGAGAAGGGGATGTCAGTGGGGAAGGGGATCAGGTCCAACGGGTCTTCTCTCCCTCTGAGGCCAGGATCATGGCAGATGGACTGGAGGGAGGGCTTTCCTTCTTAATCTAGGCTAGGCGAGATGGAGCTGGCCTGCCTCTCTCCCTCTGAGGCTGAGGAGGTAATGCATGTAACAGACCCTTGTCTCTGTCTAGCAAAAGGACAAACCTTTGCCCTCTATACCTAGTACAAGAATAAAGTACAAGTGTAAAGAGTAGTGTCTGCTGAATCAGGGCTTCAGTCCTACAAAGAGCTAGACCAGGGGTAGGCAAGCTTTCCCCTTTAAGGGCCAAGGGACTTCAGGTCCCAAAAGCCTCAGCCATGTTGGCCAATAGTCCCATGTTGGCCAATAGCTCCTGGGATTCTGGGAGCTGAAGTCCCTCGGCCCTTAAAGGGGAAAGGTTGCCGACCACTGAGGGAAACAGAGGTCCAAGGCAGTAACAAACACTGGAGCCTCGTTCTTTCCTACAGCCCCCTGATGGTCTTTGTGGTCCTCAGTCTCTCTGCTGGATGTTGTTTGGTAAGGCCTCCCTCAAAGTCTTGTTTTTATAGTTCAACCAGGCAAGGCAGCTGTGTTGGGTGGAGATCAGTGACTGTGAGAGCTTCAGTCCTGCAAAGAACAAAATCTCCGAGGGAGGCAGAGCAAATACAGCAGCCTCTTCCTTCCTACAGCCTCCTATGGTCTCTGTGGTCCTCAGTCTCTACCCTGATGGCTCTTCTCTCCCTCAGAGGCCACAGTAGTGGTAGCTGGAATGGAGGGAGGATGCTTTACCAGCTGTTGGGATTAGGCAACAATGGCTCTTCTCTCTCTCAGAGACCACATTTAAGAATTCAGTATACAAGATCTTCGATCCATCACCTTTCACTGCAGCATCACAAAGGATGTTGTAGACAGATCAAAAATCTTGGCAAAATTAAACTATGTATGAAAGAAGGCACATTGTCAAGTTGGATAGGTTGCAAAAAGACTTTTCAGCCCATTCCTTTGTGTGAAAACAGACAGTCTCCATATAAGCATTCTTGATCAACTCCAGGTTCAACTTTACTTTAAAAACGTTTTGCAGCCTCCCACAGCAAATTGGTTCACTCCTGAATTTCTCATCCTTTGGATTCATAAAACTGATCCCTTGGAAGTGAAAACGAATGTCTTTGAGCTTAGAGCTTAGAACATATGCTGAGCAGATAGCTTTTAACTATGATTTGTGTGCAAAGGAAGGAAGTGGGAGCTTTTGTCTTTAGATAAATGCCACACATCTGGAAATATAACCATATTCAGGAAGAGAACAGCCATTCAAAATCTGAGTGGGAGACAGTAAAGAGCACTATTGACATCTCAGGCTGGTATCCCACCAGTTCTATATGGCACCTACAGTAAGAGATAATGCTGCTATCTTGTTTGTTCTCACAGTACGCAGGCAGGATGAATAGACGCATGACTCTGGTCTCCTGGTCCCTTGTCCAAAGTCAAGCAGATACTGGCAAGATATGTCCAAATGACAAATCATTAGAGAAATATTCAATATAACCTAATAAAGGTTTCAAGAGTCTGCAAGATTAATCATTTGAGTGTTTTTCCTTACCTAAATCCAGCTAAAACAACTGAGCTTAAAGCAGACCCTTTAATAACTACTAGTATAAACATTATCTCTGTTCTGAAAAAAGTGGCTTTAGTTGACCTATAAAGCTCTATATGGCTCTGGTCCAGGCTATCTGTAGGACCCTTTCTTCCCAGATGAGCCTGCCTGAATTTCAATATCTTCAGGGGAAGTATTTCTCTCTATCCCACAGCTGTTACAGACATGTTTGGTGAGAATGAGGTAGAGAGCCTTCTCAGTGACTGCTCCCACATTTTGGAACTCCTTTCCTAGGGAAGTTAAGATGCCTCCTTTGCTGGCTTTTGGGGGCGGGTGAAGACTGTTCTAATGCAGCAAGGTTTTGGGAACTGATTGTTAACCAGAGAAGGGCTCTTTGTGCTGCTGTACTGTTTTTAAGCTTTTTGTTAAAGAAAAAAAAATGGTTTTAATTCTGTTGTTATTTTAATACTGTTTTAATCTCAGGTTTTGTATGTTTTTAAATATGTGTTTTTATTGTATTTTTCTATCTTTTGTGAGCCCTCTTGAGTATCAGTCTGGGAGAAAGGTGGATTATAAATAAAGTGATGGGTGAATGGACAAATCCTACCAAGAAACTCCTGTGGTAGGATCACAAAAAGTCGGAAATGACTTGAAGGCACAGAACAACAACAACAACAACAACAACAACAACTGGATGGATGTATACATGAGGAAGCTGGGAAATGAAAGGCAAACTGAATGTATGGGAGATGCGAGGGTTCAGGCTGAAATATCATTGTTGTTAGTAGTGGAACCAGGAGTCGTACGGCCAAAACCTTGGGATTTTTGATTAGGGTTGTGGGGAGAATTGGTCTTGAAAGGACAGTTGAGACCTATTAGCCTTAAAAAGGCTAATTTTTTCTTGTAGAGATTTAAAAAGTGTTAGAATGGGTTTGTAAACTTGTAAAGTTGATTGGCACACCTGGCTATGGGGACAGCCATGAGGAATACAAGCAAATAATTTGCTTTCACTGGTTTTTGTCATTCTTTCTTTTTTTAAAAAGCAACAACAACATATGCATTTCAAAAATGTATCCCCACAGCACTGAATACTGCTCATTTCCTTGCTTAATGCATATCTCTGTATAAATAGGGGAAAAACAACCCAACTGCTGGCTATTGATATACCTCCTCCCAATTTTTGTGCTCCTTTAGGTTCTAGCTCTGACTGGAGGTGTTAACTTACGATTAGAACCCAGGAAGGTTAGTGTTTTTGTCTGTTGCTCCCAGAATCCTCTAGTTCATCCTATGGGATTATGGGAGTTGGAATCCAAAAAAAGTAACGTTCCCATACTCTATTTATTTTCATTCACTCTTTACAGAATCCCTCCTCTCTCTCTCTTTTTCCAGTTGCTAATTGCTTGTTGCCATTCGTCCTCAGTTTCTCTCTGACCTGCTCTTGGTGACAGCAAAAGATGGTCAAGCAACCCTTTCAACGGGTCTGGGAGAGAGGGAAAGAAGGAAGGATTCAGACACCAATGGGGAACCCACTAATTGCTCCGACAAATGTTTTCTAAGCAGTAGATCATCTGATGTACTGGGCTCTGTCCCAGAAGCCGACCCAATTTATTTGTCATGTTTCAGCTCTTTTTCCCCCTGCTGTTCATGCTGTGTATTTAATCACTTGGCAGGGCAAGCAGAATATGCTCCCAGACTTGGCTGACACCTTTTGAAATGCAATTAGGTCTTCTTACCTTCTAAGGAGGCAGATTGACAGCTAAGAAAAAGAGATAGGGGGGCATCAGGCAGAGAGGCCATAGAAAGAAAAGGGAAAGGGAAAGGGAAAGAAAAGGAAAAGGAAAAGGAAAAGAAAAGCAGCCAATAGCCCTTGGTGCCAGCCCCATATGAGAAGCCCAACAAACTAGTGACTATCACCCAAATCCACCTGTTAGTCCCAGCTAGAGCAGACCCATTGAATCTAAAGACATTTAGTAAATGAGCCAGCATGGTGTAATGGTTTGAGTGCTGGACTATGACTTTGGAGATCAGGGTTCAATACCCTGCTTGGTCATGGAAATCCACTGGTTCACCTTGAGAGAGTCACACACTCTCAGCCCCAGAGTCACTATAAGTCAAAAACTACCTACTTGAAAGTACACAACAGCACAGTAACAAAGCCTTTACAGCACCTCTGTAAACTCCATTGATTCTATGGGTCTACTCTAGTTGGGACTGTCCAAAGTTCATATAACTCAAGATTAGGCAGCACCAGACTGGTCTTTATATAGAAAAGACAACCAAGAAACAGAGCTAGACAGCATTCCAATTTCAAAAGCACACATGCTTGATAAATGGAACTGGCTTTGCATGTAGGACACCTCACTGAAATCAGTGGAAGAACAGCATTTGCACAACAGTTATGCAACAGTTTGCACAAAGAAATAACACACAGATGTGTTTACTCTATTGCAAAGGCTCTGCTGAGCAGGGCTGATAGGAGTTTGACATTTGGGAAGTCATAGGTTCATATTCATATTCGTATTTACACACATATGATGTGCAACACGTCTGTTTATATAAAGTGGAAAATTTTGTGTTGGCAGCATGATCTAGTGGATGGAGGTTTGTGGGCCGGAAGGCTTAGGTGGACATGAATGCTTTTTTAAAAAATCCTCTGAACAGTTATTTTCATAATGGAACTTCATCATGTGAAATTCTGCTGGAAGAGGCCAGAAACTTGTAGATTTGTGGGAACCAAGACAACTGGAACCAGATCTCCAAGGGAATGTTCAGTCCCTGATGAGGAACCAACTCAGATTTTGGGAACTGTTGTGTTAAAAAAAAAAAAACCTCTCAGAATCCCAAAACCAACAAGTTTTCTAGAGGTTATGGCTCTGAGAAAGTATATTTCCCAAGCTCTGAATCACCTGACAACCTCTGATGGTATGTTCTACCATTAGAGGTGTTTAAATGGGCCAGAAGCCAAACCCCTCATCTGACAACTCTGTACCAAGCTCTGGGTACAAGCCTCCATGCTCTTTCTTCCATGGATGGCATCAACTGTCTGTGGTGGTTGTTAGTTCAGAAATCTAGCTGTATTAGTCTGGATATCAGTATGCAAAGGAATCTGGTAGCACCTTTTGAGACTAACTGTGTGAAAGAAGTGGTTGTTTTTGTTATTATTCTTTTAGTTTGGCTGCATAATCACATAATCTGTCATGCAAATACAACACAATCCTGGTGGTATTGCTATTATTCAGAAATTCAAAGACACCTTTCAACCATTTGTATCCAAGGTAGAATATAGAATTTCAAACACACACAGGCCATTTCCTATTAAAGTCAACAAGAATCTTTGTGGAAAACATCTAAACAAAGCCTGAGCTTAGAAAATATTACTGTTTGGACTACAACTTAAGACTTCTCTAGCCAGCATAGCCACACTGGCTGGGAGATTCCTGGGACTGTAGTCCCAAACCTGCAGTGTTTACAAACTCTGGATAAAAATAAGATTAGCAAAAGGGAAAGTGGGAAAATATTTTTCACAGTAGCAATTTATTAGCCACTTTGAATCTTTCGACATGCTTTCCTTTGCTCCTTCCCATGGCCTGCATAGCCAAGAATTCAGCAAGAGGACATGGTGGGAATTGGGAAAGAACAAACAGAGAAGAGAAGAGAAGAGAAGAGAAGAGAAGAGAAGAGAAGAAACCAAATTGTAGGAAATAGTTAAGGAAAAAATAGAAGCTTTGTGCTCGATTCATTCCTTGTCTCAGTAACACCTGGGGCCTAAGAGACCATGCTGTATAAGGACCTTGTCTGCTATTCACCATTAAATTAGCAGCTACAATGTGCTAGATCACATTATGAAACACTCCCGGTGTTCCTGACAAATCTGAATCCCCAAGGAGGCTGAAAATAATATCTTTCTTCCTCTCTTGTTCTTCTGGGGGTGGAGGGATTGGAATGGCATCGCTTACCATAGGCAGGGGCTGCTTGCCAAAGCAAAGGGGAAAATAAGGCATAATGCCTTTTCTTTGCCTCACACTGACATCCCGTGGCCTTTTTTCACTACTGCACCCATAAACTTGGAGAGTTTCAAACAGGCAGTTCACACTGGCTGAATGCATAATAGTGTTGCATGCTAGATAGATGGACTCTATTAAGTGTGTGAAAGTGTTCATGTGGTTTGGCCCAGGGGCGTCAATAGGGGTGTGTGGGCTGCACCAGGTGATGCCCAAAGGGGCAGGGGTGACACCTCTACTCCCCAAGCATCTGCTTTTTGGCAGCAATGGACTGTGGTGTTAGCCTGTGTCCATGTAAAATGTTGGAATTCATCAGAAGAGATGGGGTGAGTGGGGTGAGGGAGGCTCAGTGAGAGGATAAGGTAGAGGCCCTATTTTAATTTTTAATTTTTTTAAAAAAATTATTCTTTTTAAATTTCATTTTTAAAAAATCACAACTTGCCAAATTTTCACTTTAGCCACATGAAACTATGTCGATGTAAATAAAGTTGGCTTCCTGTATCCACTGATACTTTATCAGTTTGAAGCCTCTACGGCTTGAAAATATTCAAAAAATATATATAAATTCCAAAAAGCAAACCTTGATTTTGTCATTTTATAAGGGACACCATTTTATTATCCCATTGTATTTAATGGGACTTCAGCATCCACTTTTTTTATTCCATGGGAGGTCCTGAAACCAAACTCCAGCAGATACCAAGGGCCCTCTGTACATTACTCCACTGGATGATGCCATTCATAATGATGCCAGTGGTTTGACCTCAGGCCCATGTGAAGCCAGCCATGTGCCACATAGAGGATCCAGATTTCACCATGCCCCTGCAAATAGTGATGTTGGCAATGATGCATCAAAAGCTGAATCCTGCATTTGGTCAGGAATGCATATGACTCACTTCCTAGGAGCCAGGGGCAGATGGTGGAGTTAATAAGCCCCACTTTTTCTTTTTGAGACCACTTTCAAGGCAGTATTTGTATCAGTAAATAATGATAGCATTATCTGATCAGATGACATGGAGAAATGGGTGGTGGTGAGAACCCAATATTTTGGGTTCATGCAGTTGGATGAGTTAGTAGATGTAATAATGGGGCCTGCTCTATCATTAAATAGAAAGAAGCAACCTCTTCAGAGGACAAAAGCTGGGAATGGCATTACAGTGAACCCTTGGTACCCTCTAGGGTTTGGTTCCAGGATCCCCATGGATAACAAAATCCATAGATACTCAAGTCCCAGTAAATACAATGGCACAGTAAGATGGTGTCCCTTGCATAAAATGGCAAAATCAAGGTTTGCTTTTTGGAATTTATACATTTTAAAAATATTTTCAAACTGTGAAAGCTTGAATCCATGGATATGGAAGGGCTGACTGTCCTTATTTTTAAAAATTATATCCTACCCTTGGGACTCACAGAATCATAGAGTTGGAAGAGACTACAAGGGTCATCTTGTCCAACCCCCTGCTATGTAGGAACACACAATCAAAGCATTCTCAACAGATGCCCATCCAGCCTCTGTTCAAAAACCTCCAAAGAAGGAGACACCACCACCCTCCAAAGTGGAGTATTCCACTGTTGAACAGCTCTACAGACAGGAAGTTCTTCCTAATATTTATATTGAATCTCTTGTCCTGAAGTTTGAACCATTGCTGTGTTCTAGTCTCTGGATCAGTAGAAAACAAGCTTGTTCCATCTTCAATATGACATCCTTTCCAATATTTAAATATGACTATCGTGTCACTTAACCTTTTCTTCTCCAGTCTAAACATATCTAGCTCCCTAAGCTGCTCCTCAGAGGGTACGATTTCCAGATCTTTCACCATTTTGGTCACTCCCTTCTAGACCTGCACCAACTAGTGATGTACAACACAAACTAAAGCAAAACAGCTAACACACAATGCCTGTCCAACCTTGGACTGGTAAGGTGCTACCTGGGATACTGGTATCATTGGCACACAGGTCATGTGTCAGCGGTGTTTTACTCAGTGATCTCCACAGATCACTGTGTACCTCCTGTCTCCTCTATCACCTGCCTCTACTGTGTTGGGCTCAGGGATCTGGGAGGTTTACAGAACAGCAAAATTTAAGACATCTCTTTGGCAGTGGTTAGCAAATACGAAGGAAAAAGTCCATGGCAGTCAGCCTGGGAATTATTGATTTCCGTTTCATTGAAGATGAGTACAAGGAAATGTGGACAATGAGCTGCCTGGCAAAGCCAAATGCCTGTCAGATGGGATGTAGGATGGACAAAAAAGAATTCCTGCAAATCAGAGAACTTTCCTCTGGGAGTTCTTCAAATGGAAATCTGTCTTCAGCAAAGTGGTCACTCAACCTTGAGGGTACCTTGTATGTTCCAATGGCTATTTTCCAAGCAGAAATGGCTCTAGCAATTTTCATTGTTTACAATCTTACCCCCTCATTCTGTCTATTCCTCCTTCTGGGTGATAATTATGGTAAAGGCGTCCTCACATTATTTTTACCTCTGGGGAATCAAGAACGCAAAAAAGCCATTGTTGTGTGATACTGTTAATCAGTGTAGGAGTAACACGAATATAACCAAGTGAGCTCCCTACTGCTTCCTGAAAAAGCGACTGGTACTATTTCCAGCTGACTGAGCAAAACAACAGATATTGAGCTAATAATATCTCTGAGTGTGGAAAGTGGCAGTCATCATGGCTTATAATGACAACCCCTATACCTTCAGCAAAGACACACCAAAAATCAGTCCAAAAATCATTTATCCATTTACTGCTCTTTACCTTGACCATGCGCACAAAGGAATAATAAACCAAATCCTTGTTGAGGAAGTATCAAAGTATTAACATCCTAAATAACCTAAAGGCACCAGATCCTGTCTGATCTATGGAAGTCCTGGTTAGTACTTGGATGGGAGACCACCAACCACTACCAGGTGCTGTAGGCTATATTTCAGAGGATGGAACTGGCAAAACCACCTCTTGAATATTCCTTTCCTAATAAAACCCTATAAAATGCATGGGATCGCCATAAGTCAACAGGTGACTTGAAGACACATACACAGAGACCTTCAGGAGTC